AGCAGGGTGGCTGCCAGCAGCTCCTTGGGGACACGCCAGCGCCGGGGCCAGCGCCCTGCAAGAGACGAGCACCTCGGGCATCACCCCGTGCTCCTGCTGCCACAGCCCGGGGCCCTGGGCCCTCCCCATGCTGGGACATCCTCACTCTGGTGGCCATGGTGGGGTCTCACCTGGGCTGGGCGCTGCGGGCAGCGGGTGCCCAAGTGTCACGTTCTCGTAGGGGCTGTCGTCTTCCCCCGGGGCCGCACGGGCGGTCCTCGGGGGCTGCAGGGCAGGCGGGGGCTGCAGCGAACTTCAGGTCAGCGTAGACCAAGCTCTGGGCCATGTCTCCCGCGTCAGCAGCAGTCCAGGGACTTGGTTCTGCTCTTCTCTGCTCTGTTGTGGACAGGTAGCAGGCTGTGGCCAGGGCCACATAGAGCGCAGCCACTCGTTTGTGTACAGAAAAGCAGAAGTATTTGCTTCATTTGCAAAAAAGGAAAAAAAAAAAAGTTTCTGTTTTTTGCAGCCACCCTCGCTTTGGGAGTTTGGGGGGTGAACAAGTTTCATCCTGGGCAGCATGTTCTGCACCTGTCCCCCCAGGCTGTGAGGAACTCTGAGGGCGGTGTTTACTGACCACAGCAGGGCTGTGTTCCTTCCTGTATCAACTTCCCCATGGCAGCCCCTGCCTCAGAGACAGGATGCAGTGACTGCTGGGACATGGTCCTCTGCTTGTGCCAGGAGAGACTCCGGGGGATGTCCATGCTGGGGCTGTTTTCTGCTGGACAGCCCAAGTGGTGTCTATTAAAACCATAATGTCCCCTAGGTCCAAACCCCTCCATGCCAAGGTCCAGCAGGCTTTTTAGGCTCTCACACAGGCTCAAAGCAAAGTGAGGGTGTTTGCTGTGACCTCCCCAGGCAGGGAAAGCACGAGGAGACAAGCTGCTGCCCAGCTCAAGCCTTCTGTGGCATGGGGGTGGCAAAGGGTCACCTCTCAGCTGCCTTTTCTGAGAAGCATGAAGCCCAAGAAGCTATCATGATCAGAAAGCCCAGAGCTTCGGGGGACCTGCTCCAGCCTGCACAGGAGCTGCTCTGTGTTTCTACCAGGCCATGAGGACGCTTGGCTTGATGCTTGGCCCTGACTACTTCCTTCAGTGCCACAGCTGCCATTTCCCACCAGGCAGCAATGTGACTGAGTCAGGGAGCTGGAAGACGGACCTCCATCCCACCATGCTTATCTCCCAGAGCCAGACACAACATCCAAGTGCCAGAGTTTATTGCTGAAGTGCAACAATCAAAGGGGGTAAAGAGGTCTGAGTGAAGAGGCAGCAACACCCAGGGATGCTCATGTGCTGGGATCAGGCAGGGTCCAGCGTGGTGGGACAGCGAGGCTGGAGGTTCCCAGGGTCACCAGGGACTCACACAGGTGTAGGTTGTGTTTCCCA